TACATAAAAGTGATGACAGACAAAATTTTAAAAATTGTCTGTGCAGTGAGCCAATCTTTAGGATTGGTGGCATTATTGCAGGAGGCTCTCGACTTAAACAGTTGACATTAAGTGAAAGAGTGCATTAAGCACAATCTTAGGGTCTTTTTCACCACAGAAACATAGACAGTGCTTTATGTGTTTCAGTGCTGTAGAAGAATTGCATGAAATCAGATGGCATTTTTAATTTTATTTCCCTAATATTGAATTATGTCATGAACAGAGCTGGTCCATTCACAGCTATGAAAGGCACTGTTGCTATAGTTTTGAACATTCTTGGATCCTTTTTCCTTACCGCTTGTAGAACTGAAGTAAAAATGACTAGAGATTTTATTCAGACACACGCTTGTCTTTTACTGCTTTTATTTTGGAAATATTCTTACATCTTATACCAAGAATGGCATTCAGTAGGAATAAAAATGAGCTTCAGATTTCTGCGGCACACTTAATATGAGTTGTCAGTTTTTCTGACATGATTCTGTATTTGTCGATATGCTAAAGAAACTAAACTTTCACATACTTTAGTAAAATCACATATATGTCAGTTTTGTGGAATTTTAGAGAGGCTTAAAAGTAGATGCAATACATGTCTTTAAAAAAAAAAAGGCCAAAAAACTCAAACCCCCAAAAAAACTTCCTCACTAAGATAAGGATGCATTATTCTAAATAACTGTAGAATTGCTTCTGATGTTCTTATGAGAAGATCTGTAATTGTATGTTTGCTGTGTATGAAACATGAGCCTTGAGTTGCAGCTGTAAAACATCCTTTTTGAGTGTGCAGCTTGTCAGTACAAACTTAGCATTCAGACTCTTCAGCATGGATTGCAGAAGTTTCTGAAGAATTTCAGAATTACTTTAATATGAAATGTTTCCCATGATCTTCTCCTTTTCATGCACAACTTTGTCACAATCTGAAAAATACCTTGCACTCAGTAGGCAACCAGTAGATTTTTGCAGGAGGTTTCTACTGAGAAGTGACAGAGGGCAGCCTGGCAAATGTTCAGAAACTGACATTAACTTGCTGGAGCCCGGCATGGGACCTTGTGTTCAGCAGAATTCTTCTGACCTGTCTCTCTGCATGCCGAGCTAATCAGCAAACACCTAATGAGCCTACTCTCAAGAAACAGACCCTCTCACAACCTACTTCATTTTCATATGTTCTCTGGGGGTGGAGAGACAAGACTTCATAAGGACTGATGATGCTGCAAAGACCACAATAATGATAATTAACTTGCTGAATTTAGAAGATTATGCTGTTAATTAGTTGCAAAATAAAGATAAGTAATAGAGGAGCAGATGGTAGGATAACACCCAGGAGAAGGAGGGTTATTACTCTGAGCTTTTGTGGCAGATATGAAATATGGATCTGAGTTTTTCACAAATTGTTTCTGGAGTACATTATCTTGTTTCTGTGAGCTCTTGATGGAATGATGTAGTCCTACCAAATTTTGACAGATGTGGTGAGGATTTGTTTTCAAGGATATATATGAAAGATAAAACCTTGCTAATCAAGATTTTAAAAGCTATTAATCTATCTCAAAATACCAGTTTAAGTTGGCCTATAACCACATAATATCAAAAACCTCAGTTGTCACCAAGTTTCCCCACATGAAAATGGTTATATACATTTATTCTAATATGTGTTTCTGTATTCTTGATTGTTACAAATGAGATTCTCATTGAATTCGGGGTAACTGTCTCCCTACTCACAAGAAGGACAACATCTGTATAGTATTTTACTCCAGCATTACCTTTTAAAATGTGAAACCTCTTAAACACACAAGCTGGAAGTCTCTTTGTGAAAATCGGTAAATATTCCTCAGATTTTCACAGTATGTCTGCATTTGTGGATAATTTAATCCTAACTACTTTAATTTCAACTTTTAGACTTTGCAATATGAAATTAAATCTAATTATTTCCTATTCCTGTTTTCATAGTACATTACACTTAACAATGTAATTCTCAAAAGGCTTATGAATTTACAGGATATAATGTTTAAATATTAGCATTACAGTAAGTAAAGTCAAGTCCAACTTTGTTTGCATGTCCTGGTGCAAACACATCAGTTACCATCATGGGCAAAACAGACTCGTCTTGAGGAAATCAATTTCATTTATTACCACGCACATCTGAGTAGCATAATGCACCCAAAACATAAAAACACCTTTCCCCCTTTTCTTCCTTGGCTTAACTCTTCTGTGCCTCCTGCCCCTCAGCAGCACAGGGGAAAGGGGAATGGTGGTTGTGGTCAGTTCCTCAGACATCTCTGCTGCTCCTTCCTCTGCCTGGGGAGGACTCCTCTCACTCTTTGCAGAATTACAGCATGGGCCAAGTTGGAAGAGACCACAGAGATCATCTGGTCCAACCCCACTGTCCCAGCAGGGCCATCCCCAGAGCACATGGCACAAGACTGCATCCTGAAGAGTTCTTGCCTATCTCCAGTGAGGGAAGCCTCACATCCTCTCTGGGCAATCTGTTCCAGTGCTTGCTTACCTGCACAGTGAAGTCTAAAACTCTCCTAGTATGACAGCTTGAAATAAAAGAGAGCATAGCCTTTAAATGATTTGTACTTTAACTGCTCCCTTGATTAGGACTGATGAAAATTTGTCACGTCCTGCCTAAGTTATGACAAAAGAAATACTTCTAAAGTAATTCAAGTCATAAATGAAAATACACTGCAAAAAATCTCATGCTAATAACATATAGAAAGGTTATCGTCATATTGATGTTAAATACTTGCTTGTTTCTTTAAAAAAGATTTTTTTAAAAACTGACTTGGATGTGATGTTTCCCAGTCCTAGTAGTGGTTGTGTAGAAAATTTTACAATTTAGACACCAGGATTAGTTGAAGAGAGAGAGGAATCATCAACTTTGCAGTTGTTGCAGGGTAGATCATAGATCACAGTAATGTTGGACAGTTAGAAAACACTTAGGCCTGTTGGAGACAGGGACTGAAATTTTTTTGTCAGCCTGTTTTTCCGAGGAAATTAGGAAGGTACAAGTCAATTCTTGACTTTAATTAAAGCGTTAACTACCTAAGGGCTTTCAGTGCTGTACATATACTAAAAATTATGGACATATTATCTTAAAAATGTTTGTCATCCTGCCCTAATGCTTGCAGCTATCATAAATTTTTGTTGTTAACCTTGAGCACTGGGGAAACTGCAGTAAATTTGATTTGTGTCATTTTCTGAAGTATCATCTTCATTCTGGAAAACTTATGAAATTGATGCAATAAATGAGGTGAGGAACAGCTCTTTCAGCTGTTGGGATTTGCTCCCAATTTTCATGTTCACTTGAATGGTTCCTGTCTGGTGTAATGTGCTGCTGATTCAATCCAGAGCAATCACTACAGAACAGATTTGCTACAGAAGTCACTGGCTAAAGTTGCCTTAATAGCAGGGCAGTAGAGGGGTGTTGGAGTTTCTTGGTTCCTCTGTTAGGATACCTACTGGTGCTGGCTATGTGCTACCAAATCCATCTAGTTGATGGTAACTTGCCATATTTCAAACCTGAAAATTTTTTGCAGTTCTGACAGAGGTAATCTGCAATCTGTTGTTTTAATTGTAGCATAGGATCCAGGAAAGCCTGCCACCACGGAAGGTAGGAGAGAGGTGTTACTATATTCCAGTCACTTAATTGTTGGGAGACCTTGGATACTGCAGTTTATAGAGAATATCTGCATAAATAGGTGCAAAGTTTTCTTTTTCTTCTGAGCTAGGCAAATGCTGTCTCTCTTTAGTATTCTTAAGACATTCTATTAATGTTAGTGTGTGGGCAACACTTCATATTTCAAAATACAATATTACAAGTTATCAGAATTTCCAAACTTACATGTTAAAGTCATTAATCTTTTCTTAAACTTGTACTGAATTCTTAAAAAGTCTGGTGCTCAATAGAAAAACATTTTCCAGCACCGTTTGTCTAGTAAGGTAAATTCTTCAGTAAAACAAAAAAAATCATGATAAATTGTACCGTGTTCATGGCATTTTAAGAAAGGATCTGGAATTACAAGCAGTTGTATCTGCTGAAACTGGGCACTTTGTTACTTAAGATTAAGAAATCGTTTTAAATAGAATATATTATATTACAATTTTAATAGGTTTTGCCAAAAATTGAATGAAATATTTTTCAACAGGCAGTCAATAAAATACTTTAAAGTCGTCCATCAGGTTGTCAGTAACTCTTGGGTGTATTATATACAGCTGAACTTGCATATTACTGTTGGTCGTAGTGACTGTGTGCAATAGAGGAAGAACATCAAACCTTTTTGCAGTTTTTTTACTGTAGCATGCTGTAGTAGTTATCTTGCATATTTCTACATAATCTTTTTATCTTGCATATTTCTGCATAAATAATCTTTACATATAACATGAAGCTTCTTAGTAATTTGTACATCATTAAGATCCTTCAGCAAAGATCTTAGCTGTTATTTAATTACCCATAGGAAGGATTGTAGAGGTGAGTATTTGTAAAGACCATGAATTAGCAGAGGCATAACAAGCTATTTAAAAATGAATAGAGATAGAGAACACCAGAATTTTTAAAATGGGAAGTTGTGTATGTTCTGGTTGTTGCCTCTTTTCCTTCATGTGTCATCATTACTCTTTTGGTACTACCAGCTTCAGCAAATGTTTATGGCCTTCCACTCTCCTGTTTCTTGGCACAATTCACTACATTCAGATGAGGCTTTCTGTTTACTTCTCCAACGGTTTTACCATCCTTCTCTTTCTGGGATCTTAAGTAAACCTCATTGCTGTTGTCATGTTTGCAGAAATCTACCCCCTGTTTTTAGGTATATGCCTAGGTCACTGTTGAAAACCTGTAAAAAGAAACAACTGTTTAAGAGTTGGACTTCCTGTTTCCAAAGTGGAAGTAACTGCTTATATAAATGATTAATCATTCAAGTTAGCGTGATAGAATATTTCTTTCCTTTTTCTTCTTTTTTTTCTGCTTTCAGAGGTTGAAAGCAGCCTTGACCCAGCAGCACCCTCAGGTAACAAATGGAGATACTGCCAAGGGACATGCAAGTGGGTTGGTTAGGACTCAGTCAGAGGAGGCACGACCACAGTCACTACAACAGCCTGCAACTTCAACAACTGAAACACCGGTATGACAGGAGTGGGCATGTGCCTCCTACCTCCTCCTTTTATTTTGCAAATACATATAGTTTTTTCTATACTCTTGGTTTCTAAAGTAGAGATGAACAGACTCCTACTCAATAGCTCTACAGCAGTAAAATGTTTACAGGTCTTACTTGTTCTTAAATGCTTCTAAAAATCTATTGTCCAGGATGATGATTTCAAAACACGTAGTATCTATCTGCACAAATTTAGAACTAAGTCCTGGTTTCTGGAGTTCATTGATAAGAGGTTCTGTGGTAGCTGAAATTTGTACAGCTGGTCAGTATATATTTGAAAAAATGAGTGCTTTTATTTTGTGTTTCTGTTGCATCTGTTTTATGTTTATTTACTATCATAAATGTGCTTAGGAATTTTTTATTGCATCAGGTATTATGCTTATGTTAATTTGCTTGAAGGATCTTTTCTGGGCTGCCACAGAAGAGTTTCAGCTGTGTGATGAAGTGTACTTCATCATCTCAGGCTCTGCAAGGGGGCTTTGGTTTTAGGTGTGATTTGTTGTCCTTTTGGGACGATACTTCAGAACAGGGGAGTAAAAGGCAAAACCTCTGAGTCAGACTGGAAGTGGGCATGCTGCTGGAGGAAGAATACACTTCTGGTGAATCCTGGAGGATTGCAGCTGTTCTATTTCTAAAAACCTCATGGAATGTGTTCTCAAAATGCTTTTTAAAATCCGAAAGAGTTATTTTCACAATTTGAAGCATAATATTAATTTTATAAAAGCTACATACCTGGCCCAGAACTGACAGGACTTAACATCTGTAATGAAAGCCTCATTCTTACACTGGCCAGTGAAATCAAGTAATTTATCGAAACAAATACGTTTGGAACAGAAGAGGGGAAAAAAGTGACCCATTGTAAAAGGATCTCTTTCTTAAGACTGTTCCCCCATACTGCCTTGAAGTTTTTTTAAAGAATATTTTCATAATATCACATAGCAGAATTTTCAAGATGAAAATTGCTGTTTGATTGTTTTAGAGTTATTTTACAATTAGTATTAATCAAAAATAGCAAGTGTTTAATTCTTAAAACACTGATTTGAATTCCCAGGGGGTTTTTATTCTTAGCTATTTAGAATTAATGCCAAATTGATATACCAGCTGATACATGTTTGGGGTTTTTAATTTAAAAATAAAACTTTCTTGCTAGGCGAGACTGAATGTGAAGATGCAACTGTGAATGTCACATGGACAGTTACATTCTGTCTGTCTTGTCTCTTTAAGGGACTTTTAGAACCACTACATTGCATTAAATCTTTGTCTAGGTTCTGTATACAACTGTGAAATGAATATAATATATAATTGAAAGTATAGAAGTATTTTGATACTGTTATGTAATGTGGATAGATTAAGGGAAATTGTTATTCAGTGGTGGGGATCACATCAACGAGTAGGAAATTGCTATCTGGAGATCCAGGGATCAGGGAGTCTCAGCACTGCCAGCATTTGTCAAACAGCTTCTGTGTGATGGGCAGAAGCAATTGTGTCATTTTTCAGTTGTGACTAGGTGTGTGGGAAGAGTCAAAAATAGAAAATTCATTTCCCACTAAATGTAGCTTGAAAGCTATTTTGGATGTAATACATTACTGTGAGATGATCAGGAGTGTAAGTACGGGTAAAAGTTTTTAAAAGAGTAGAGTAGAGTTTAATAAGCACAGCTTTCAAAAAACATGTGTGTAACCTGAATGTATTTAGAAATGCCCTGAATGCTTTTCTCAAGCTGTAATAGCTATTTATACCAGTGCTGTAGGTTAAGTCACGACTGTTTGCAGGCATCACCAGCTCAGCCTACGCCACAAACACCAAATACAGGCGGTCGGCGAAGAAGAGCTGCCAATGAAGACCCTGATGAGAAAAGGAGAAAGTTCCTGGAGAGAAACCGGGCTGCTGCTTCCAGGTGCCGGCAGAAACGGAAAGTCTGGGTGCAGTCATTGGAGAAAAAAGCTGAGGACCTGAGCTCACTAAATGGCCAGTTACAGGTATACTTTTTATTTCACGAAAAAATTACTAAGTTTTTGTTCTTACATAGTGATCCTTGATCAGTGGAACTTAAAACTTTGCATGAAATCTGAAACAAAAATGTTTTTATGACTGGTGGCTTAACTCAGGCTTAAAATTAATTGCATAGAGCAGTAAAATTAGAGGATAAGAGCATATTCATATTTCAAGACATGTAAATTTAAGGATTATACCCTTCTATCACTTATTCCATTTGAAGGACCTGTCAGACTATGATACTAAACTGAGACGACAAGATGTGTTGGACTAAACATATAATAGTCTTACCTTGAACACATCTTGCTCTTAATTTGTATCAGAGCCTGAGTTATTTGAGTAAGTCTTGGGCTTATTTCCTTTGGTTCTTTTTAACTTCACTTCTTTTTCCTTTAAAGTGAATGTAATGCTTGTGAAAGGTACCAGGTTGACATCAGTGGATACTGAGGGCCTCTTTTGTCCACAGAATGGGTATGGCAGTGGCAATGCAAGTTTTTACCACTGCCACCTAAATCCTATAGAGGTGAAGTGTGCTGTAAGAGGGTAGGGCCAGTGTATGTTGCAGGTCACTTTTCACCTCATCTGATTTCAGAAAGTTGTCGTGTGAATGTACTTTTCCCCCGTAGAATAATCCATGATCCTTTTGTTTAAACTACTAATAAATGTTAAAGCATACTTTCCTAATGTTTTCCAGCAGCATGTTAAAAATTGGCACAAATTACTGTTTTCAAAATAAAAGTGTAAAAGCTTCATTTTGAAGTTGCTGAAAGGAAAAACAGTGTAATTCCTAATTTGATATGTTAAAGTGTCACTTGTTTTTCTTCATCAGAGCTGTTCACTGAGTCAAATTCACAGATCGTCATCTTCCTATGAAAGCTCACCTCTCGTGCTGTTTGGTGTAGAAAACACCACAATTTGATCAACAGGAAAGTAGGGTGTGGTGAGGTCATCTATCATGTAATCAAAATTAGTCTTTCAGTCATGTTCATATCTTTAAAAATGCTCAGCATCCCAATACCCTGAAATGTAAAAGATTCCTACCTAAGCCCATACTATGAAATGGTGTCCTGTGTTTCAAGAACCATAACACTCTGCACAAGCATTAGTTAAATTTCATGCAAATATGTATTCTTCTCAAAGCTGTTCACAGTCTTTAGGCATATTCATTTAATGCACAGTCCTCAATGAAGTCCATTAATTACATAATTATATATAGCACTGTAGTTTAAATAAACAGAGAAGGGAGTGAAGAAGAATGAAAAAAAAATTAGCCATAATTCAGTTCTTTAGTGAAAGTAATCTTTGGTATCATGTGAACTGACTTTCACATATACATACCAAGTTTTATAACAAAAAAATCATGTAAGTACCATAAGCAAAAGGTTTCCAAGTGTTAATTCAATAACAGTGAATTCAAGAAAGATTTTTCTCACAGTCCACCAAAAGCAAAACTGTCAACTGTAAAGAATAGAATAACTTGAAAAGAAAATTTAATATCAGAGAAATAATTACACTGTACTTTATGTGAAAACATTAATCAACCCTGTATTTCCATAATAGAAACTTGACAGACTAACACAGCTGATCGGCAGAGTGGGCAGTTATGGTTACTTATTTTATATTTAATAGAAAATATAATAAGTTTGGAGTTTTGCCTTAATGCAGGTTTATAGATTGTGTTTGGGTTAGTAGTTCATATTTTCTTTAACATCTAAGTGGCCTAATCAGCTGAAGTTACCAAGGTGTCCCATTTCCAGAAGCAGGTTCATACCAAAACGCCTGCGTTGCTTCATGTAACAATTCTGCCTCCTCTCAATGCTGTTACTGGCTTTCTTGTAATGTCTGTGTCAGAGATTCCCATGTCAGTGTGAAGGTTTTTAAGACTGGAAGCTCACTAACAGTATTGATTTTGAAGAGGTTTACTTGGTTGATGTATTTATTTTGCTCTGTAGATTAACTTCTATCAAGTTCTTTTAAATATTTGAAGGTAACTTAATTTTTAAGCAGTATTTTTCAAATATTTGTTTAAGGGAAAATTTCCATCTATTACCTCACTAGTAACATATATAGGTTAGGTAGACTGTCTTTATTATAGGCTCTGCTGTGTAAGTTTTCTTCGTGCTTCCAACATTTTGAAGTTTATTTACTGTTTTGATTTTTGAGAAGTGTATTTTGTATTAATTGTTGACTTGTTTATTGATTTTAAATTTTATTCACCACCTTGTGTGGCCTCTGTGCCTTGCACAGTCCTGCAGGGTTTAAGAAGATACTGACAATGTCCACAGTGGCTACTGAGCCACACTGCAGGATCAGATGCTGAAGTGCATTATATGTTCTGTATTTGGTCCCTGTTGCTTTAATAGTCTTAGAGGGTGAAGCTTTAGAAGAATGGCCTGTCTTTCTCATGAGGTCACAGTGGGTTTTCAGTGAGCAGCAATCAAGTGATGGCTTGTACTGATGCTGCAGAAGCTGTTTAGGAAGGCTATATTATGCAAGTATGCCCATAAGTAAAGATCCTTTCCCATAGAGGAAGTTGTCCAAAAAGAAACAGGAAGAATGCTGTTTAACTCAGCCACAGACTATCCTTATCCCCAAAAGTCATATTTACCTGCCTTTGATACTTTGAGTAATAACATATCACAAATGTTGTCCCACGCCATGCTGAGTAAGGGTTGATGTGGTCCCATGGTCCCACTATTATATCTGCATTTTGGGTGCAAGGAGGAATAGGCAGATACAGAAGAATGTGTCATGTACTGTGTCTTCCCTTCATAAGAATGCAGAAGGGAAAGCATCTTATGAAAGATGGAATGCAGGTACAACTCAATACACTTTCCTCCAGAAACCTGCTTTCTAAACCTGAGTTCTAAACAGCCCCCCTATTAGCTGGAAATGGTTCTTACTGGTAATGCATAAAGGCAGCCATAGATGGTCTTTCTGTGACATTCCCCATGCATGTGTCTAGCAGACAGAACTCTGGTCTAGTGTCAGGAGCTGTGTGTGCTTTGTATCTAGTACTGTTGGCACAAGTGTTCTTGTTATGGAACATACAGCTACCATTGTTCTAGAGATACCTCAATCTCTTTTACTTAGGAATGCTGATCCATGTTTTTCAAGTTTGCTTTAATGTAAGATAATGTATTTGCCTTTTGTATTTATACTAGCAGCAGTCTTAATATTTTTAGAAGAGCTGACATTGCTCTACAAACTCT